TGCCACGTAAGCCTCACACGTTCACCGAGAGAGAGTGATGCTGCTTCTTGCCTGCCACCGTTGTCACAGGAACTCTGGGAATCATTTCGTATAGTAAACTGTTGACGTTTTGGGACAAAGTAATAATAGTGCGCAGTGTATTATGTATGTTTTGTGACATTTGTGCGTATAGATACGTTAATGGTTTTTTTGAAGTGGTAAATGGGGGGCACGTGGGTGGCTCAGTCAGCTAAGCATCTGGTTTTGGTTCAGGTCGTGATCTCACGGCTCATGAGTTCGAGCCCCACGTCGAGCTCTGGGCTCACAGCTCGGAGCCTGGAGCCTGCTTCGGATTCTGCGGTTCCCTCTCTCCCTGCCCCTCCCCTCGTTCATGCTCTGTCTCTCTCAAAAACGAATAAGCATTGTAAGAAGGGGGTTTTAAGTGGTTTCTCATTAGATAAGTAACACCACATGCAAAACTTTAAAAAACAATCAAATAGTACAAAAGGGTATGCAGGGAAAGGTAAGTCTCTCTTCTACCCCGGACCTTAGTGAGTCCTCCAACCTGGGAAGCAACACTGCCAGATTCCAGAATTATTCTGTGCATATGTAAATGTAGCTAGAGATTTTTTTTTCTTAAGGGCAGACAGGAGCATGTTATGCACATCCCTCTGTACTGTACTTTTCGAGAGTCTGTTATCTGACAATCATTCCACATCTGTATCTGTGTCTGTATGTGTGTCTACATCTGTACCTACATCTACTTGGATGTCCTCTTGCTGTTTTCATGGCGATGCAATATTTCATTAAACGACCATGCCACAGCTGCTTTAACCCCAGCAGATGGGCATGTGAGTCCTTTCCGTCATAGGGCCCGTTACACGTCATGCTGCGGAGTAAACCCTCTTGCACCTGGCGTGCACGTGGGAGTCTACCTGTGGAGCAGCCGCTCAGTGGTCTGACCGGCTCCCAGGCTGAGCGCACACCGCCCGGTTGCCCTGCAAGGGGCAGCAGCAGACGACGCTCTCGTCGGCCCTGCGTGCCGTGCCTGCACCCGACTCCGTTGACTGCACTGGGTGTTAGCAAACATCAGCCTTGACGGCTCAGAAACAGAATACTGTTGTCTGATTTTGCGTTCCCAGGTGAACATGGACGACCGGTTCGGACAGATCATGATCGAAAACCTGCGGAGGCGACAGTGTGACCTGGCGGGAGTGGAGACCTGCAAGTCGTTAGAGTCACAGGTCGGAGAGCAGGGCAGGGACATCCTTTGGTACCCTTAACCCCCCAGGGAAGCGCACACTCCCTTCTCAGATCAGAGAATGTGAGAAGCCCTGTTGAGTGCCCACCTGAACAGGCAGCTGGGGTTCCACGTGGGCCACTGGTTCATCACACTAAAGAGGTCCAAGACCTGGGCCGCCATCTTGGTTTGGAAAATACACATTCACATTTCCCATACCCTATTATTCCAGTTTTTCAGTATGCATATTTTCTTTAAATTTTTTTTTTTTTTTAACGTTTATTTATTTTTGGGACAGAGAGAGACAGAGCATGAACGGGGGAGGGGCAGAGAGAGAGGGAGACACAGAATCGGAAACAGGCTCCAGGCTCTGAGCCATCAGCCCAGAGCCCGACGCGGGGCTCGAACTCACGGACCGCAAGATCGTGACCTGGCTGAAGTCGGACACTTAACCGACTGCGCCACCCAGGCGCCCCCAGTATGCATATTTTCAAACAACATGAAAGTAGAGGGAATAGTAGAACGAAAACCCATGTCCCACCAGCCAACTTTGGTGATTCACATTTTTCGATATTGTTTTATTTATCCCCATTTTTTGTCGGTGTTGTCATTGGAATATTTTAAGGCACATCCAGAGAGTATAGCATTACCCCCATAAATACTTCCATGTGACTCTCCTACCAGTAAGCATTTTCTTCCCCCACCCCGGGATAATGGTAATATCATTATTGTACCTCACACATCAGCCGAAACTCCTCCATAGCACCCACTCCACAGTTCGTGTTTGGGTTTCCCCAGTTGTTTAAAAAAAAAAAAAACAAAAAAATTCTATAGGTGGTGTGTTTGAAACAGGATCCAAACACGGTCCAAACTTTGTACTTGACACGTCCCTTACATTTCTTAGAATCTATAATAGAGACTTTAAATATCTTTTATTTATTGTTTTTTAGTTTGTTTGGTTTTTTCTTTTTCTTTTTCTTTTTTTCTTTTTCTTTTTTTTTTTTTTTTTTGCTGAAGAGACACCACTCAGCCCTGCCCCTATTAAATAGGCGAGATTGTACGTGTCTTATGTCACATTACCCCTCGAACTCATTCAAACACTCTTGCTCACGGAGAAGTTCCTTCCTTTATTTCTCTTTAAATATACATTAGTGACTTCTCTCCCATGACAACAATGCATGTTCGGTGTAGAAAATTGGGAAAGAAAAAGAAGAAAGATGGGGGCCGGGATGGGCTTTTGAAAAAGGAGTCATCTAAGAGAAATTCTCATGTGTTCCAAGAGTGCCTTGGATTTGTACAACGGTGCCTTGTGCCTTCCCTTTTCTCTCCACTGTACATTCTAGAAAGAACGGCTCCTGTCGAATGGGTGGGAAACAGCATCAGCCGTCAACATGATGGAAGTCTACAGCAGATTGCCTCAAGCTGAAGCGAGCAGGTGCGGATTGGTGAGAGTTAGTTTCACGGCGAACAATTTTGATTGATTAAAGACATAACTGTCTTTTTTTTTTTTTAACGTTTATTTATTTTTGGGACAGAGAGAGACAGAGCATGAATGGGGGAGGGGCAGAGAGAGAGGGAGACACAGAATCGAAATCAGGCTCCAGGCTCCGAGCCATCAGCCCAGAGCCCAACGCAGGGCTCGAACTCACGGACCGCGAGATCGTGACCTGAGCTGAAGTCGGACGCTTAACCGAATGAGCCACCCAGGCACCCCCATAACTGTCTTTAATGTAAACACAAAAACAAACCTCAAACCTCCAACCCTCACTAGATCTATTTTGAACCATGTTAATCTGCTAATACACGCTAAACCATAGCACCTTGAGAGGAACTCATTAGCCCCTAACGGAGATAGTGTTTGTGCCAAAGCAGGTTATTTTGGTCAAAACGAGAAGTCACACCTGTCGCACTCCCAGAGCACCCTGTGCGGTGGCAATTCTGCACAATCCCTGTGTTATACAGATTTTTTCTTTGAACTTATTTTTATTTTAAGAGAGAGAGCGCGAGTGGGGAAGGGGCAGCGAGAGAGGGAGGGAGAGAGAGAATCCCAAGCTGGCTCTATGATGTCAGTGCAGAGCCTGAGGTGAGGGCCTTGAACCCATGAACTGTGAGGTCGTGACCTGAGCCAAAATCAAGAGCTGGACGGACGCTTAACCGACCGAGCCACCCAGGTGCCTCTTTGTGTGTATATTTTAAAGCTTCTATTTAAATGCTCTTTTGAAAAAAATCATACAAGCACATGATAAAACAAAACAGAAGACGACAGTGTGGAGTACAAAGACCAACCCTTCCATCCTGCTCCCCTCTCCACGAGTCTACCACCTTCTCTCAAGAGACAAGTGCCCTTGCCTGTGTCTTCCAGAAGTGAGCTATGCATGTGGAAGCACGTATGTCCCCCACTTGCTCTTTACGTAGATAGTAGCGCACTCTGCACATTATTTACTCTACAGTTTGCTTTTCGAATTCCACCGTAAGCCTTAGAGACTGTTCCAGGTCGGTGCACACAGACCCATCGGATTCTTTCAGATAGCTGCATATCCTCCAGTTGTGTGAGTGCGCCATAACCTCTTGAACCCAGCTCTCCTCGGTTACAGCTATGATGCAGCTGTGAGGCTGCCGTCAATATTCTGGAACATACATCTTTGTACATATAGGGTAAACTCTTAAAGGCAGAACTGCTGAGTGAAAGGGTGTACATTTTAAATGCGGGGTGGGGAGGGGGCACCTGGCTGGCTCAGTCGGTAGAGCATGCAACTGACTCTTGATCCCAGGGTCGTGAGTTCAAGCCCCACATTGGGTGTGGGGCCTACTTAAAAAAAAAGGAGGGCGCCTGGGTGGCTCAGTCGGTTGGGCATCCATCCGACTTTGGCTCAGGTCATGATCTTGCTGTCCCGTGAGTTTGAGCCCTACGTCAGGCTCTGTGCTGACAGCTCAGAGCCTGGAGCCTGCTTTGTATTCTGTGTCTTCCTTTCTCTTTGTCCCTCTCCCTACTCTCACACTCCTCTCCTTCAAAAAAACATTAAAAAAATTTTTTTTTTAATTTAAAAAAAAATTAAAACAGGTTTTCTCATGATGTGTACCAGCTCTTTACATGGCAAGGAAATCTACCCTTTGTCATTTGTATACTAGTATTTTTTTCTAGTTTCTCATTTGTCTTTTGACTTTGCTTATGGTATATTTTTGTACAACAAAAGTAAAATGGAACCATACCATATGCACTATTTCATATCCTTCTTTCCTCTTAGTATAAATATGAACATCTTTCCATATCCCTAAACTTTCGGTCATCATGTTCATTTTCATTTGCATAAATTCATACTCTGTTTTTTATTCTCTCCCCAGAATAGAGTCACTTGAATTCCTGGATGAAATGGAGCTGCTTGAACAGCTCATGAAACATTACTGCCTTTGTTGGGCAAGCAAAGGAGGAAGTGAACTAGGTACGTGGTTTGACATCTGTTGATTGGACCTAGAAATGGGGACCTTTTTCTCTGCAAAGAATATAAGACATGCCTGGAAAAACTGGAGTATCGTATGTGTGTGTTCCTGAGCCTATGCAGAAAACTAGCTGTTCCCTCCTCCGTGTTTTCATAGCACAGAAACCAGGTGAATTGTTCAAATAAGTCATGTGGACCACACTAACAAACCTACGACGCTTTAGCAGTCTCGTGGCATTTCCTCAGTTGGAAGGGAAAAGACCTTGAGAGTCGAAAGCAGTAATCTTAATAAAAGTAACCACTGTTTGTCTCGTTAATCACCTTATAACCAGGTTTGCTAGACATAACCTAGACACATATGAGGATATGTCCTCATCTGTGTCTCCAGCAAACCCATGCAGCCGCGGGTCGAATTTCTCCCTCTTGCCTCTTTTTTATGTTTATTTTTGAGAGAGAGAGAGTATGTGAGCAGGGAAGGGGAGAGGGAGAGGGAGACACAGAATCTGAAGCAGGCTCCAGGCTGAGAGCTGTTGGCACAAAGCCTGACGTGGGGCTTGACCCCATGAACCATAAGATCGTGACCCAAGCCGAGGTCAGACACTTAACTGACTGAGCCACTAGGCGCCCCACCTCTTACCTCCTATGATTAAGGTGAAGTCCTCTAGCCTGGCAGAAGAAGGCTGTGGAGGGAGCATCGATCCTCGTCTCTGTGTTTCTCGTTTCCTCGGTCTTGACCCAGTTCCTCATTTACAAGGGGCCCATGTTGGTCTCGCTTCTTCTGGGGGGGTCATCCCCTAGGGCATCTCTCAGAGCCTCGTGGAGACCATGTTAGATCCCAGTTTTGGCCTTGATTGGAGTAGCCGCCCTTCACACTTCCTGCAGAGGTCATCCTGCAGCCAGTCCGATGACATACAGCCTGAGGCAGGGAGCCCACATGAAAGACGGAACTTGACGGAGCGAGGGCAGAACTTTTCTCCTGTGCGAAAATCCCATGTTGATATGTAGCTGTCAGTCTTCTCCCTGGGGCTTATCATTCCAGTAGTTTATAAATTTACCGAGCAGTTCAGCCCAAAAAATCCTTTTAAATGTGTCTTTTTATTTAAAATGATTTATGAGTGGGGTTTTATACTGTCATTCCCCTCCCCCCCCAATTTTAAAAACAACATGATTCTTTGTAGACTTTGGAAGCTTCTAAAACGTAAGAGGACAAGCTTCTAAAAGAAGAGGAAAATTGCCTGCGTGCCTGTCACTCAGAGATAACCCTAGTAGTTCTTTCCTTCCACTCTTTTTCTTTTTTTTTTTTTTAAATTTTTTTTTTTCAACGTTTATTTATTTTTGGGACAGAGAGAGACAGAGCATGAACGGGCGAGGGGCAGAGAGAGAGGGAGACACAGAATCGGAAACAGGCTCCAGGCTCTGAGCCGTCAGCCCAGAGCCTGACGCGGGGCTCGAACTCACGGACCGCGAGATCGCGACCTGGCTGAAGCCGGACGCTTAACCGACTGAGCCACCCAGGCGCCCCTCACTGAGGATAATTTTAACAGCTTTATAAAAATTCTGTCCTGAGGCTACTATGTCCAGATTGACTCAACTTTCCCACACTTTTGGAAACATAGTTTGTCCGGAATACTGCGAGGCCGATTCTAGTTTTAATTTTTTATAATTTTTTAAATGTTTATTTATATTTTTTTTTATAAATTTTTTTTCAACATTTATTTATTTATTTTTGGGACAGAGAGAGACAGAGCATGAACGGGCGAGGGGCAGAGAGAGAGGGAGACACAGAATCGGAAACAGGCTCCAGGCTCTGAGCCGTCAGCCCAGAGCCTGACGCGGGGCTCGAACTCCCGGACCGCGAGATCGTGACCTGGCTGAAGTCGGACGCTTAACCGACTGCGCCACCCAGGCGCCCCAATGTTTATTTATATTTGAGAGAGAGACACAGTGTGTGAGTTGCGGGGGGGAGGGGGCAGAGAGAGGCAGACACAGAATCCGAAGCAGGCTCCAGGCTCTGAGCTGTCAGCACAGAGCCTGATGCAGGGCTGGAACTCATAAGCGGTGAGATCATGACCTGAGCTGAAGTCGGACGACCAACCGACTGCCACCCAGGCGCCCCTGATTCTAGTTTTTGTAAAGTTTTTTAATACACCGAACACCTCTGTGTCAGGGGCAGCTTTGTGACACGGGTGCTGTATGTGTGAGGTGAAGAACCACCCTGTGTCTGCACTTGCTCAGAGTTCATTACTGAAAGGGTAGACTTTGGGCGTTACCTGCAGAGAGCCTGTGAGCTGTGACCGTGCTCTCTTAATCCCCTTGTCACCCCTGCACACACAGCCTTGTCCAGTCTCTTGTTTCCTCGCGGCTGATCTCGAACCACGCCAGAGACCAGAGCTGCCACGATGAGGCGTGTGGCCCGTGCCCCCGAGCCGGTCGCCAGGGGCATGGGGTCCAGCAGGGCCTCGTTCTCCTGCCGCTGCCTGCTTTCTCTGCCCTACAGTGTGAGTCTGCTAACAGTATTGTGTGTTTCCCCCCCTCAGGTTTGAAGGAAATCACTTACTAATCTATTGGAAGCCCAGGCCGAGCTGGGAGCTGCTGCCACCAACCTTCCCAGAGTGGACTGGCCACGTTTCCTGGGCGGTGGCCAGCCCTGGGCTCGTCCCACACCCTGACAGACCTCACTTCCCAGGGCTGTCGCACTACCTGCTGTGCCCGTTGGCTTACCGTTTAAATAAATCTCTGTTGCCAATTGCCTTTGGTCCTCTGCACTTGCTCGTGTGCTGCTCCCCTGAGAGGGCTCTGGTTCACCGCCACGTCAGCCAGAACCAAAGCTCCCGAATCTTCCTCCAGCCTTGGCTTGCTCCCTGTGAGTCAGACTCCGCTCAGACCCCAGCGTCCATTTGGGGGTTTATTCCCGCGTGCTTGTGTTGTGGCAACTGATGTCACACCTGGCACCTTGACCTTGGCCTCCACCTCCAGCTGAGGCACGTGCCTGCCTCAGCCTATCTTGGTTATTGCAGCAGGCTGGGTGAAGGCCCCTGAAACGTCTGCTGCTGTCCCTTGAACCTGTGAATGTCTCACCTCATATGGCCAATGGGGTTCGCAGGTGCGATTAAGCTAAGGACCTTGACCGACATGGGGAGATTATCCAGGCGGGCCCAGTGCAGTCACAGGGTCCTTACAAGGGAAGGCGGGAGGGTGGGAGGAGAAGGAGGTGTGATGGTGGAGACAGAGAACAGCGGTGCACTTTGGAGATGAGGAAAGGGCAAAGCCGACAACGTAGGCGGCCGCTAGACGCTGGGAAGAGCAGGAAGACAGATTCTTGGAGCTTCCAGAAGGAATCAGTGTTGCTGACAACTTGAGCCCAGTGAAGTGGATTCCGAATTTCTGGCCTCTCGATCTGTAAGAGAATATTAGTGTTTGAGGCCGCCAGTGTTTGAGTTTGTGCTGGTTTGTTACGGCAGCCACAGGATACTAATCCAGTTGTACAGACGAATAGGGCCCAGGAAGCCTCCCCAGTCAGGAAACAGAAGGTCTGTCCATCCCTGTTGAGCTTTCTGGCTATTGCCTGGGGCCTGGAACCTGAACCTGCACGTGCAGGACGGCAGTGAGGAAGCTGCTCCCCTTCCCACCTTCAGGATCTTTTGAGTCTTAAGAAATTCAAAGAGAACAGGGCACCTGGGTTGCTCAGTCGGTTACGCATCTGACTTCGGGTCAGGTCATGATCTCAGTTTGTGGGATCAAGCCCTGCGTCGTGCTCTGTGCTGACAGCTCAGAGCCTGGAGCCTGCTTTGGATTCTCTGTCCCTCCCCTGCTCAAGTGCTCTCTCTCTCTCTCAAAAATAAAGTTCAAGGGAAGCTCTCAGGCTGGTACTGGTGTGTTTGAAAAAAAAATTTTTTTTAATGTTTTTATTTATTTTTGAGAGAGAGCACAAGCCAGGGAGAGGCAGAGAGAGAGAGGGAGACACAGAATCCAAGGCAGGCTGCAGGCTCTGAGCTGTCAGCACAGAGCCCGACGCGGGGTCCAGACCCACAAACCGTGAGATCATGACCTGAACTGAAGTCGGACGCCCAACCAACCAAGCCACCCAGGTGCTCCAGGTACCGGTGTGTTTTTAACACTTCTATAACATTCATTAATCCAGTGGTTTTGAAGCTGTGGGACCAAGCCACGTGGTGAATCCATGTAATGGATCAAAACCACTAGTTTAGAAAGATGCAGAATAGAATAGAAAATATTATAGCACATTACTAGTAGGAAAAGTGAGTATTGCTTTTTGACACATTTCATTTGCACTGTGGCAGATTGTTCCTAATGTTTTGGTTTTGGTTTTTATCAGTGTGTTAGCACTTTGTGAACTGAGGCAGCCACAGAATCTGGCTAAAATTCAAAACGCCTTGCTTTGCTTCCATTATATTTCTCTTTTCCCTAGAATTTATTTTTTTGGATTACCTTCTGTTCAAGGCAAATGATAACACCATTACTGTTGACCATTGTGTTATGAAATGTCCATTAAAGTACCTACCAACTTCATTTCATTTTTTAAATTAAAAATTTTTTTAAGTTTATTTATTTTGAGAGAGAGACAGTACAAGTGGGGGAGGGGCAGAGAGAGAGAGGGAGAAGGAAAATCCCAAGCAGGTTTATCAGATTGGCTTGTTTCCCATTTGGGGGCCGTTCTAGATGTCAGTGATGAAGAGTGACCCCTTTCTCCAAAATCTTACAGTTCTTTGTGAGGCTTTTGAATAACTAGTAGCAGAAATGGCTAAAAAAAAAACAACAAAAAAAAAACAACCCCCCGCCCCCCCAAAAAAACCCAGTCAAACAAAAACCCAAAACATCAGGGGGTATCTGGAATGCTTTCAATTTCAGTAATAAAATATTGGAGAATATCATTAAGGACATCAGTTTGCTCTTTGTGCTCTGTCTTCATCAAGATGTTGACTCTCAATCTTTTCTTTGTTACCTTATGATCATAAAGTAGCTGCTAGACTGCCAGGCATCACAGCTGCCTTCACGGGTAGGAAGAAAGGTGAGTCTTCTTCAGTGGTCTCCATCATTTTATTCAGAATGAATTTGTTCCCAAATGTGCCTGAATATACGTTGCCTATATCTCATGGTGGGAACTGAGTAGCATTGCCAAATAAGATACAGGGTGCCTAGCTAAATTTGAATTTCAGGCAAGCAACACGGAATTGTTAAGGTATAAGTATGTCCTGTGTAATGTGGAACATATTTATACTAAGAAAGTTGTATGTTGCTTGTCTGAACTTCACGTTTACCTGGGTGTCCCCTATTTTTATTTGCTAAATCTGGCCACCCTGGAACTTGGCCTCCTTGCAAGAAGGGCTAGGAAACAAAATATCTGGATTTCTGGCTTTTGTAATAATCCCAGGTGGGCAAGAGAGAAAGAAATTGGAAAGCTTTTAGGTCATCGGCCACCCAGTGTGGGGTCATTTTGATTGTGTTTGCTCCACTGCACGGACAATATGTTTACATAATATCAAAAAATTTGTGAAGTTCAAAGCAGAATCAAACATATCTTTATTTTAGAGTTTTTTTACTTTTGGGGGGGAGGTACAGACGGTTTTGTATAAAATGTCTTCTGTGGGTAAAATATTTTAATTTTAGTTTACTTTTTTATATCCCTCCTCGTTCCACAGAAAGGATTGAGACAGCTGATAAAACTCCTTCATCACAAAGGCAAAAATAAATACTTTGGGGAGTGGAACATAAGCTTAAAAAATTACAAAAGGCCCTCAGATGTGTGTATTTTTTTTTAATGTTTATTTTAGACAGAGTGCAAGCAGGGGAGGCGCACAGAGAGGGAGACACAGACATAGAATCGGAAGCAGGCTCCAGGCTCCACAAACTGTCAGCACAGAGCCTGACATGGGGCTCGAACTCACAAACCGTGAGATCATGACCTGAGCTGAAGTCAGACGCTCAACTGACTGAGCCACCCAGGTGCCCCAGCTGTGCGTATTTTATTGTCGGCACAGGTACTGCTGGGCTGCAAATCTGACTCCCGCAAGTCCTCACAGAGACAGAAACACGCTCCAGCTTCCAGAAAATCACAGCCAGCCTCGTGCTTCCAGAGAGGCACACCCCTTCCTACATAGAGCCCCGAGAAGCTTCTCCTGGGCCTCGTCAGTGGGATCTCTGTGAATGCTGGGGGCCGGGCTATGGAGGGCCTGCCCCAGGGCCCTCTGACACAAACCTGTGCCTTAATGCCGATGTGAAACTCCATGAGACCCAAATCGTACGGTCCAATTATCTATCTCTGGGACGCTAGATTAATTCCAGAGTAGAAGTTAGAAAATTTGGGGACAGTGAAAGGCCCACAGAACTCACGTGCCTCAACATCATTTCTGAAAGCTGGACACTTTATACAAGATTCCCCTCCAGAAAACCTGGAGGCTCATTGGCTGAGTGGTCCAGATCCAAGCGTTTTTAAGAGCCAGCCAGGGGCTGGGACTAAGGTCTTCATAAGAGAGTATAAGAGTCTGTACAATGGGGAGAACTTCATTCCAAGGTAGCTGCCTCAGACATAAAATGGGCCGTTTGTGACACCCCCCTTAAAACCCTCAAGGCCCCCTCTTCCCCTTGGTATGAAGCCCAACTCCTTCCCATGGCTCACAAGCCCGAAGACTCTATGTGGTCTGGCCCCTCCTCCCCTCTCCTAGTCATTTTGTGCCACTCTCCTACCCATGACACTTCTTCTAGCCCTGCCTTCTTTCTTCTCCCTAACCTGCCCAAACTCTGCCTCTGCTGGCCTGTGCACCTGCTGTTCCATTTCCTGACTCAGCCTTCCCCCTTAAGGCTTAGTTGAAACCTCAGCTCCTTAGAAAAGTTCTCCCCCTTTACCGTGTGTAAATTTCCCCTGTGGCTGTATCTCAGCACCCTCTTTGGTGTCTTTGTGGTTCTTTCCTGAGCTTCTCATCATTTTTATTCATTCCACAAGTATTTATCGAGCACCTTCTATGTATCAGGCACTGAAAGACAGTGAAGCAGGTGAATAAATAAATAAATAATATAATTATGGTGCTACTTGAGTGCTCTGATGACTCAGTGGTCATGGTGTGAAAGATGATGTAATCCTACCGTATCAAGGTGTTTGATTTATAGCTCTGGGTAAACATCGCCAGAGTTCTGATGTGGGGGGACTCAGCTACTATCATTAATAGTAGGTTATGAATATAGTGACACCTGGTAGACTTTTACTTAGAGATCAACACACGAGTGTGGGTGGTGGGGGAAGATGCCTCCAGTAACAACAACTCTTGCAATAATGTGGTACCATTCAAGTGAGGCACCTCTCCAGGCCAGCGCACAAATGGCTGTTGAGCCCCCAGAGAGAAAGGCAGATAGAAAACATCCGAAACCTTGCTAAGCTCAATGTCAGAGAAATCATCTTGCTCTGTCTGCAAACAGAGAACTTGGAGTAATAAAGTGTCCTGGGAGAGCTCTTGGGAACTCAGGTAAGGCTCACTGTTCACATTTTACCCACCCACTGTTTCCCAGTTGTGGCTGAGTTTGAGTGCCGGGAGGTCTGAACCCTGAGGGTGGCTCCTGGCTTGCAGAGCGGGGAGAATTTAGAGATGTAAGGAGATGGGACCACTGACGGAGTGGGAGGTGGAGGTGGACCTTGAGGGGTGAGAATCGGGGAATGGGCTCTTGGAATATCCTGGTGAAATCATGCCAAAAGGAACACTGCAGGGAACCAAGTGTAGGAAAATGAGTCACAAAGGGC